CCCACATCGGAAAACCTATCTTGGGCGTTAAATGGGTTAAAGCAGTTCTAGAACGAGGCATAATGGTTCCTCCCCGTGAAAGAAATTATTAGAATGTGTGCAAGGCATGTGAGTTGTGTTCGGATTGGTGCCCCCTCATAGTGCACATCTCACCATGCATTGAAAACATAGGGAGATGTTCTTAATATATAGTTGGGATGTACTGTGATGTGGGGCGCACATGGGCCACACTTTTGTAGGGTGCCGATGCAAATTACTGTTAATTATAAATCGAGCTTCGGGCTTAGGCTCGACTTTTGGGCTTTATATAAGGGTTAGGCTCAGGCTCAAGATCTAGGCCCGATGGTCGGGCCGGGCTTGAGTTCGGGCTTGCACATTTTCTATTGATAAAGAGGCCCGTGTTAATTATAAAACTATGATTTTTTATAAATTAAAACTTTTATTTAATTCTATTCTAGTATAAAAAATATATAATATTTCTATATATATATTAATATAAAATTTTTTATTTAAATATTATATAATAATATTTACCATATATGCATACAACTTCCAAGTTGAGCTTATTAGCGGTTGTTTAGCTTGGGTTCTATCCGCTAAAGCCATCATTGGACTCCAAAAGTTTGATACCCAATTAGACTTCAAATCTAATTATCCTTGATAATGTGTGGGCATGGTGCATATCTCAGCTAGACCTAACTTAAAAGAAAATAGTTGCTTGAGCCTGCAAATTTATAGATCTAATCGGGTTAGGTTAAGTTATAAACGATTTATTATTATTATTATTATTAATTATTAAAATATCGTTGGCTATTAAAATATTGTAATTATTAAATTACTATATTTAATTAAAATACAGTAATTTTTGGAAATTAACATATTTTTAGAAATAAATTACTCTATTTATTTAAAATACAATAATTTTTAGTATTTTCAGCATTTATTTTAGCATATTAGTCACTACAAAATTAATTTGCATTTGCTTTCGGTAAAAATAAATTAAATAACTAAATAAATACCATAGTTAATAAAAAATACAACTAATTTTCAATACTTTTCAATAATTTCTAGCTTTGGTATTTTTCAATAAGTTTTGGTATTTTTAATAATAAAATACTATTAATTGTACTTTTATTTATTTTCAATAAATACCCTTATTAATATAAAATATTGTTAATTTTCAATTTTTTAATTATTTTTAGTATTTTAATTATGCTTATATTTTTCATTATTTTCAGGATTTTTAATTAATTGTTGGTATTTTTTCATTATTATTCAATAATTTTTGCATATGAGTAATTTTTGCAATAAAATACGATTAATAAAACAGTTTCTATCTTTAAATTTTCATTAATTTTTATTATTTTTAATGAGTTCATTATGCACAATAAAGGTCGCAACTCAAAAAACAAATATTAATTAATTATAAATGCATTAATAGAAAGTTATATAATAATATTATTAATATTATCAATTAATATTTTTATATTTAAATTTCTTATTTTTAATTAATTGTTGGTATTTTTTTCAATATTATTCAGTAATTTTTGCAATAAAATAATGTTAATAACATGGATTTTGCATTTTAAAAATTCATTAATTTTTATCATTTTTAATGAGTTCATTATGCACAATAAATGTCTCAACTCATAAGTTATCTAATAATATTATTAAAATTATCAATTAATATTTTTGTATTTAAATTTCTTATTTTATTTAGTGTTTATTAAGTTTGATTTTTAAGTGGAATTGAAACACATTTTTAATATTTTCTAAGTTTTGTTAATATTTATTTTTAGTGAAAATTTAGTGGATTTTTAAATTAATAATTTTTTGATTGTTTAACTTCAACCTATTTATATTATTACTATTCTCTCTCTCTAGCTCTCTCTCTTAAATGTAATAATAACATACATTAAAATAAGAGGCATTGGAAAATCCAAAGATCTCTCTCTCTCTCTCTCTCTCTCTCCCCCTCTCTTAAATGTCTTTTTTAAATGTAATAATAATATGCATTAAAATAAGAGGCCTTGGAGAACCCAAAGGTCTCTCTCTAATAGTGTGCAATTTTATTAATCTAATCAAGATAAGCAATGATTATTGTTTTATATTTTTAAACAAAAGAAAATAAGAAAAAATAGAAAAAAATGGATAAAATAGACAAATAGCTTATCTCAAAGGAGAGACATGCTGACATGAGAGAGAGAGAGAGAGAGATTATTATTTCAAAATTTTCTTCTCTAATGACTTCAAATGAGCATTTTGATTCACCATTAATGAGGCAAGGCCAAAGTATTAGAATATGAAAATTAGCGATTAAAAAAAAGGTAAATTGCTAAAATCTCAATAGAGTTTCTAGCCATTATTAAGATCTCTCCTAAAGTCTAAGTTTGGTAGTGGCAATCACCTCTTTCTAGGATAGTTGTAATTAGAATCCCCTAACAGCAAGAGGTATGAAAATGTTCAAAATATTTATTTTCCAAATTTTGTCTTTATATTAATCCTTACCCCAAACCCTTCCAATATCTTTTCCATAATTTATTTATTTTTCAAAATTTCCCTTTTTATCAATCACTTTTCTATTGTTCATAAAATTTGTAGGACTTTTTGCAAAAAAATTGACCAAGTTTGGTCAATTGACAATTTTAGCTATGTTTTAGAAATAATAACAAATTGAGTGAGTGGGAGAAAACATGAAGTTTTTAGGACAATATTACCCTTTTTTAAAAACAGAATCCACCGAATCATTCATGTTTTGTTTGTCTTCTCCAAGTTCGAATTTGACTCCACCCATTCAATTGGAAGCATCTCTAAGTTTGAATTCRACTCCATCCATTCAAACTACGGTTGGCTAGAGGCATCGACTCTAGCCATTTAAATGACTTCAGATTAGGAAGCATCGACTCYATCCAACTAGGAAGCATTAACTTGATCGATTCAAATTGCGACTGGTTGGGAAGCATTGACTCCATCCATTCAAATGACTTTAGATTGGGAAGCATCGACTCAATCTGGCTATGAAGCATCAACTCCATCGACTCAAACTATGACTGGCTAGGAAGCACCGACTCCATATTCAAAGCAAGTATACTAAAGGTGGTGAATGATAATGTCAGATTGGCTAAAACAACATGATAGTTTAATAAAGCTCATAATGCTTATCTCTGTGATCAATACCCAAACTACATATCTACTTATATGATCAACAACAAGAACATATTTTGTGCCTAGACTATCTGGTATGAGCAACTTGGGTGGTGTTTAACAGATTTAGGAACCATTCGGCATGGATAAGATTGGATGGTTTATTACAGAGTTGGAAACCATCCGGCATTACACAAACCAAATGGTTTATTATAGAATTGGAAACCATCCAATATCACACAGAGTGGGATAGTGTTTTACAGAATTGGAAACCATCTGGCATTACACAAATTGGATGGTTTATTGTAGTATGAATCTTCAATTGCAGTTGTAAATTTCAGCTCCTTAGGTGATAAAATAGTATTTACACCCTCAAAATCATCTAAATCTCAACATTCCATAAGGTAGTATATAATTCTTACAAGTGTATAAACCATTCAACATGGAGAAGATTGGATGGTTTATTACAGAGTTGGAAACCATTCGACATTACACAGATTGAATGGTTTATTGCAATTTTGAATCTTTAATTGCAGTTATAAATTTCAGCCCCTCAGGTGATAAAATAGTATTTACACCCTCAAAATCATCTAAGTCCCAACATTCCATAAGGTAGTATATGATTCTCACAAGTGTATAAACCATCCGGCATGGAGAAGACCTGATGGTTTATTACAGAGTTGGAAACCATTTGGCATTACACAGACCGAATAGTTTTTTATAGAGTTGGATACCATCCGACATTACACAAACCAGATTATTGTTCTTAATTTTGAAACATAATTTTTTTGAATGCTTTTTGAAACATAAATTATAATTACAAACATCTATCCATCCACATCATAGTTACACCATTAAAATCATTTATAACCCACTAAACCTCTTTGTTTTGTATGATTCTTATATGTTTACAGATTTACAAACCATCCTACACTAAACAAATCGGATATTGTTTGTAATATTGATACACAAATTACAGTTTTGAACATCTATCCCCCTATAGATAGTTACACCATCAAAACCATTTAGAACTTAATGAATCTCTTGGTTCTATATGATTTTCATATTTTATAGACTTAGAAACCCAAATTGCATCATGCATCTATTGGGAAGGTGTCATTCCACGGTGTTGAAGCACACAAGCCATGTTTGCGCATGACCATAAATCTCTGCCTCTAGTGCCTTTACTAAGACTTCTTCAACATTCAAACCATCATATGGTTTCCATTTATATAATTTAGGTTCTAGAGTCCTATTTGTATACAACTCATTTTATGAGCTATTATATACTAATATATTGGTCAAAAGAAATTGTAGCATCTTCAACATTCAAATCATCATATGGTTGCCATTTGTATAATTCTGGCAACAATTCATTTCCAACATTCTATTGACTTCTAAGTCTTATTTCTTTTACTTACATTTTGCAAATACTCAACTAAATCATCATTTACTTGCATTTTGAGAGGAAGGGATTTGTTTCATTCTTTAAACAAAAGAATATACAATCAGAATTTGACAAATGAATCACATCAATTACTTAAACAATGAAATACAAATATAAAGAAACAACAAACAAAAAATATGTAAAATCTCCCTAAGCCAGTTAAAAAGAGTTGGAGAAACAAGAAACAAGAAAAAAAATAAAGGGAATGAGACCCCAAATTGAGGTTAGAAGAAGAAACCCCTTCCTGCTAACTCAGAAATTTGCGAGAAGACAAACAATCAAACAGTAATTTTGAACTCAAACTTGGAGAATGGGTCCCCAAATCACTTGAATTCGAACTTGGACGGAGAATGGGATCCCAAATTTTTTGAACTCGAACTTGGATAAAGAATGAGACCCCAAATCACTTGAATTCGAACTAAGAAGGATATTGCTTTAAAGATGGAGTTTTCCTAGCCATGCTTGCTACTCAAATGAAATCCATGTTTCCCACATTTGAAGTCGTTTGAATGAATGGAATCGATGCTTCCGGTCAGCCGCAGTTTTCTGAATAGATGGAGTCGAACTAAACATGAATGCTCTGGATTCTGTTTTATATATTCTCCTGCAGTCCTGCTCACTCAATTTTGCATGAATGTTCAAGGATAAAGTCACGATAAGAAGTTAAGAACCTTTTGCCCTCACCCTACTTCTCTCGCAGCCACGCTGACGATAGCCTCAACCAATAGTCCAAGTACCACAGACTCTACCTTTCAGGTAAGCTCCATCATCACCATCCACCTTTGTAGTCAGTCGTCCACCACCACTGTCCATCTCCGAGACTACCCCTGTTCTCTCTCTCTCTCTCTCTCACTTTCCATTCTCACTCCATCTTTTTACTCTTCTGTCTTCTTCATCCCCAGTGACCTCACACTCACCATTACCGCTATCTTCTTCATCTCCGACCACCTTTACGACTACCGTCGATTCTTTTCCCCCTGCCTGCAATCATCCGACAGTCGCCCCCTCTATTAGCCTGAACCACTCGCCACCTACTCTCCTATCTCCCCTTCTCTCCTGCTTGGTTCTCTCTCCGCAATGCAGCTTCACTAGAACACCACTGCTGCAACTCCACCTATGGTCACTCCATACTCCTTTCTCTCCCTCTCTTTTTGCTGATACCCCCCTTTCTCTCTCTATCCACTGCAGCTATTTCCGTTCTACCGAAATTACCATATTACCACCCCTCTGATCATCTCCATCAACTAAACAGCGCCCCCACCCCATCATCCATCTCTCTCAGCCTTCTCCCTCATCACAGGCCATCATCGTCTTCGCTTCACCATTGCTATCCTTCTGTAACTTCTCTCTCCGACGCTCTTCACTCTCTCCCTACTCCCTCTGTCGGTCATCACCACTCCCATCTGGGAAGAATCCACTAACTCTGCAGTCTCACCCACACCCTCCTTTATCTCTCTGTATTTCATTCGAAACTCAAATACCCCATTGCCCAATTCCCAACTCTGCAACCTTTCACCCGACGACCTCCTATGCCTGCCATCGTTGTCAAAACGCATCTCACCTCTGTTTTTTTTTCCTGTTTTTCCTCTCGGCCACCATCCCTGCTGCTTCATTTCTTGCCCTGACCCTGAGAAAGTGCTGCTAGCTCAGATAAAATAACTCCGATACAGAGAAGTTGCAACTTATCCTGGTCAAGTCTCTGCATCAATCTATCGAAACCCAGCCTCTTCTCCCAAACCGAACATTTCTGTGATCCCAGGAATCTCATTTGCTAGTCCATATTATGCATCGAGGCACCTCCTCCCAATTTCCTTATAAACTACATTGTCAAATTATAATGGTTGTATTCGTGTCAAGTCTCTGCATCAAATGTTTATTGGTTGACTTCTAACTGGATGCGTTTTTGTCAAATGCTTCTAGCGGTTGTTTAACCTCCTCCCCTACGGGTATATATCTGCTGATGTATGTATAATTCTTTCTACATATTTCTTGTATATACTTGTTTCTGCCTATATAATTATTATTGCATATGCATATATATTTCTGTATCGTTGTAGTTTTCCCTGTTATCATATATTCTTTGTGTATGTTTCTTAATCTTTTTCTTTGTTTTCTGCATTTGTTTTCATTTATGCTTCTAGAATAATTCTTTACATACTTTTACACATACGTTTCCACATCACTATCTATATATGATCACATATAAATCTGCATCTTCCTTTACCTATTTTTGTATTCTCTATATTATCTATGTATGCCTTATACATATTTTTGGATTTTCCTAAGTATGTATATTCTTGTTTACATACATCTCTGCAAATTGTTCCCTATATATGTTCCTGTGTTGTTTGCTTTGTATCATTATATATGATTCTGTATTGGTGTCTTCCTTTTTCTTTATATTCTATGTTTATAATTCTATGTTCTGCATATATTTCTCTATATAATTCTCTATTTATATCTTCCTGTTTTATATGTAATTATGTATTTTTCTGTTCATATTGTTTCTATCATTTTCTCTTTACATTCATATCCTATATAGATTTTCCATTATATATACTTAGCATTTTCCGTGTATTCATACATATGTTTCTGTTTACTTCATCTTTAAACATTTCTATATATCTTTCTAGCCTCTGTATATTTGTTTACCTATGTATTGTTTTGCACATATATGCAAGTTTTTTCTGTGCTTACAACTTTTCCGTACTTTTATACACATATATTTCATGTATTTATGTCCTTATGCTTTGCATATATTTTGTTCTCTTATTCATACACACATCCAAAAATGGTGTAGGCAACCCTGTATTGGAGCTGCTTGGGTTGCCTCACACCTTCCCCAAGCTTCTTACCCTTCTCTCTGAGTAGTAGATCAGTCTCAGTCATCAATTCAACTTTTCAATTTTGCATTGGGTCCCAGTACCCGGAACTAGTGGGTGGTGGCTCCACATTTCCACCTAATGTGGACATGTGGCCATGCCTTGAGTCCACACAAACTATATTAATGGCCATGAAGCATGGAATCACCAGTGATGTTGCTAACAGTCCACAATCCAAATGATTAGTGTAGCTCTATATGTAAGAATAATTCTTCTTTTTGTCTGAAATATCCAGATTCTGAACCGAGGGAACCCATTGGTATGCTTCCAATGCGCATAACAAAAATTGTCCTTCAATCCACCAAAATTAGTGCCAACACATGAACCATATAGAAAAGAGGATAAAACACTTGTTGGATAGGTAGAAGTGTGTAGCTCAAGCATGGAGCAGAACATGTTGCAGATGTTTGAAGTGGGTCCTTGTGAAGATGCTTACCAAATGGGCTTTCTCATAGGTCAGAGGTTCTCCAACCTGATAAAAAGCAGGTTGAAAACGGACCTCATCCTTCAAAATCAGCTTCTCCCTTTTTCCTGCTCTCCACAGTCGCAGTCACTCATCAGGACACTCTCTGATGCTAATAGGAAGAAGTTTCCGAGGTACTGGGATGAACTCATAGGTACTGCAGAAGGGAGTGGCGTGCCAGTTCTTGATGTAATTCTCTTATTTAAGATGCATTTCCCATGCATATATTTACACATGCACAAGTAAATATGCTTAAGCACTCTATATCTACTACACATATCTAATGCTCATGTGTCTAGAACTTGCTAATTAAGTTGTGCTTGTGCAGATAATATTACTGAACTTTAGAAAGGAGATTCTACCTTTCATTCCAAAGGCAACAACAGAAGAAGCAGACACCATTGATGACTGTTCTGATATTCTTGTAGCAAGTGATTCCATGGCTGTTGTGTGCCACAACGAAGACGCAAATGTTGCATTAATTGGCCACACGTAATGATCCAATTCATTGTCATCAGTAGCGTAAAGACACATAAGTAGTAGTTCTAGTGGATGATGGATGATGACTCAAGTTTCATCTTTGTCTCTTATCAAAGAATATCAACTTGCTTTATTTATCTAGCTGGCTCATTGCAAAATTCATGAAGTTGAACCATCCTAGTTAGCATCAAGTCAATTATGCAAGTTTTTACTCACTGACAAAATGATTTAGGTGAATCTTGCATTAGCTGATGCAGCAAATACAAATCAGTAACATAAGCTTTCAAGCTAATATTCTTTTTGTAACTATGCAGTTATCTGGTCAAAGCACAACTGTCAAATGGCCTATCGTTTGCTGCTTACACATATGCAGGAGAGCTCCCAAGCTGTGCATTTGGGTTCAACAGCAATGCACTGGTAAAGTTTCTGCTCTGTCCAATTCTTCTGGATCTTCATGAAGTGAAAAGTCAATAGGAAAACTGTCACTTTCTCCTATTGAGAATATGGTTTTGCCTGATTCTAATTTCATTACAATGTTTTTCCAGGCATTTACTCTAAACTCAGTACCTCCATCAGAGGCGGAAATTGTACCTGGTGGCATTGGACGGAACTTTATTTCTCGAGACCTGCTTGAAGCTACCGACCTTGATGATGCATTAAGTGTATATGATCCTTCTGTCTCTTTTCTCATGACAGACATTGTTTCAGTGTATAACCCATTATGCTTGGTTTTAATCCTATATTTTCTTGGTTTTTAGCGACTCCAATTATCAGAAGCATCTGTGGGTCATAGCTATAATCTAGTTGACATGAGAAGGCGTAAGATCTTGAATGTTGAAACTGCTTCAAGGAATCGAATTTCAGTTTATGAGGTTGGGATGACACCCTTTTTCCATGCAAACATGTATCTCCACCTTAAGGTAGAACAGGTATGTAGTATAGCTGCAGGAAATGCAGATATCTGTTGCAATCAATGGTGAGATTCCAAGTTTAAAATCATTAATATACTGTCTTATGAAGGTACATGATGATAACTCTATAAGCAGACAAAGAAGAGCGTCTGAGCTATCAAAGCAGTCAAAAGCTGATTTTCTCTCACTTCTTGGAGATACGCAGGATGAGAAACATACCATCTACATGGCAGGTAATACTGGACAATATCTGTATAGACAACAAATGATCCATGATGAACAAGGCCACAAATTTTGAGCCATTTCTAAGACAGACCTGCCTCCTGAACTTACTCATGGACCAAAACATCAATAAAAAGCCAAAATTTATTTTTTTTTCCGGACTCATAAAAAGTAAAAAGAAAAACTTTGTCCAGTTAAGTTGTTCCTTGGTATTGAAATTTCCTTGGTCTAGGAACCTCCCAGTGTAGTGCCGTAAAATGATTGTTTGATTGTTGAATGACTCGAAACTAATGTTTGGCGTATTACTGATAGACCTTAATTGTTTTTTATATGATAATCTTAAATTTCCTTCTCTAATTGAATGAAAAAAATTTCAGGTCCAACACTCTACACATTATGTACAGCAGTGATTGATCTGGATGAACAAACATTATCCATCATTCAAGGAAACCCAAAGAATGGAGAGATTTCTCATGTATTTTCGATGTCTTCAAAGAAATTTGATGTGCTGCAATAACAGCCCTCACTTGGTGGTTCCATGAAGGCATTCCCAACTTTGTTCTTCTCAGAACCCACTTCCAATATTACTCACATCAATGCACGTTATGGCTGTCATTGGCATTTCCAACCAAGCAAGTTACTTGGATTTATAATATTCTGTTAAATATCGAACTTGAGTGCATATGAGAAAGGCGGTTATACCTTGCCACGGATCTCATATTTGATGGAACCATCCAGCCAAGGTCCTCATGCAAATAGTTTTGTCACTGTGTTTTTAAATATGTCAGTAACTGAAAAATAGAAATAAGGAGCATCCCTTCTGCACAACATGGTGTAAGTACATGGCATTAGGTGCCACATTGATTGCGAAAAGAAACTTATAGAAAGTCTCTCTGAGCAACCAATGCAGGGATTAGAGAATACAAAATCGCAATAAGGCTTGTGTTCCTGGCGCAGATGTTTCCAAGTAAGCAGTAATATGCCATTATGAACAAGGTTTAAAGTATTGACACGTATCGGCCAATGGGCCAATACATATTGTTCTGGGACCCCTCCGATACACCCCTATAGTGGGTGTATCAGGGGTCTGACTGGTTCAGGGGGTGGAGGAGCCCTAAATCATCTCTCCTGAACCGGTTTCAGAAAAAAAATAAAAAAAAGTAAAAAATATAGTATTGATTAGCCCGATACGCCCCTACCGGCATATTGGGCGCATCGATATTTTGAACCTTGATTATGAATTCTTAGTGTAAACCGGTTGGAGGATAAGGGTGGTTTAATTCTAGAGGAAGATGGTGGTGGTTGTAGAGGTTGGTGGAAGAAAGAGAGAGAGGATCATCTCTTTTCCCTTTAATGGATTTAATGTATATGGTGTTAACGAGTCCCTAGGGTATGTGAGATCCTATTTTATAGTATTTGGACCTCCATTTTTTAGAATGTTTTTATATTTTCTTTTTTGTCCATTTTGCCCGTGTATTTAATTAATGTGCATGTTTAATTAATGCATATGCCTTTTACTATACTCTAGAATATTCTTAAATGTTATTATTCTAAAAAGTTTTCTCTCTTGAATTGTTTGTAAATAATTAATGGATAATTGATTGACTTGGTTCGATCTTACCTGGATTTATGCGGAGTTGGTCAGGATAATGTACTTGTATAAAACTAATGTCTACATTATCCCCCTACTATTGATGGGTGAAGGCCATTGTTAAGTAGAAGTTAGGTCAGGTGTTTTAACTATTATACTCAAGTATTAGACCCAATTTTTTAACTATTATGAGATCAATTCCTAAAGTTTTGAAACAATTTAACTTTGAACAATTTTTTAAAGATTATCCCCTAAAATTCTGAAGAGATTTGTGAATTAAGAAATTCGTGAAAGATTAGCCCCAAAATTTTAAGAGTTTTGTGGAAGATTAGATCTTAAACATCCAAAGAATTTCCTAAAAGATTAGCCCCCAAATATCTGAAGATTTTTTTGAAAGATTAACCCCCAAAATTCTTAAAAGATTTGTGAAAGATTAACCTCCACACATCTAAAGAATTTTTTCAAAGATTAGTCCCTTTAATTTTTGAAGAAATTTAGAAAAGATTAGCCTCTAAATTCTAAAGGAATTTGTAAARGATTAGTCCCTAAATGTCTAATGAATGTTTTAAAAAGATTAGCCTCTAAAATTCTGAAAAGATTTGTAAACAATTAGCCCTTAAATGTCTAAGCAATTTTTTTTGAAAGATTATCCTCCAACGTGCCCATTTGAGTAATGTCGTAATCATGAAGTTAAATTGTCGCAAGTGAATCGGGACAAAATTAGTGTATAGCCGCGAGGTGAGTTCTTAATGTGAGATGCAGAATCGTATTTGTAGAATGAAGTGCATGGCCAAGCTTAACTCAAAGGAACATAATACGATTCATTGATTTTATATACAAAGGATCACATTATTATTTGACAGAAATTACATGAATCATTCATTGTACAGTTTCAACCAGTGACCATTCACTGTTTCATCTAGTTCATCTGCTTACATTTTTTAGTACATAGTATCATGTTGGGTGAGCTTCTTGGATGACATACGGTCTGACCCAATTGGGAGCAAACTTGCCAGCTAATTTACCTCGTCTCACATGGAGTGTTGTTTTTAGTACCTTGCCGCCTTCTTTGAATTTTCAAGCTTTACTAGTTTATTGAAGTTGGAAGCCATGAGTTGTTTGTATTTGATTTACTTTTGAAGTGACTTTTCTTGGGCCTTCTCTATGCATTCTAGTTTATCGCTAAGCATCTATTCCATTTCGTCTGTCTAAAAGTGTTTTCCCATTTCATAGGCTATTCTGGCGGACATTGTCTAAATTTCTACTAGTAGGACTGCTTACGTGCCATAGACTAGAGAGTAAGGAGTTGCTTGTGTTCTTTTCCTAATCATTGTGCGATAGGCCCAAAGTGTTTTAGACAACTTGTCGGTTCAGTCCTTTTGGTTTTCTACTACCATCTTGTTTAGCATCTTTAACAATGTTTTGTTTGTTTCCTCTGCTTGCCCATTCCTTTGTGGGTAATAGGTTGTCGATGTGCTCAATTGTGCCCCATATTGTCCCAATAGGTCCCAGACTTCATGGTTTTTGATTGATAACCCATTGTCCGTCAGAATCCTCATTAGAACCCCAAATCAATGGACTATGTGTTGCCCTAGGAAATTAGCAACATTCTCTGCACATTCTTCTCAAAGGTATGGCCTCCACCCATTTTGTGAAATAGTCTTTGGCCACTATGATGAAGTCATAACCTTTGGAGGGTGGGTGTATTTTGCCTATCAAGTCTACTCCCTAGGTATGGAAAGGCCATAGTGTGATGATGGGGTGGAGGTCATTGATTGGTCGGTGTAGGATGTGGTTATGTAGGGCCATTTGTCCTTGTTGTGGGGCTGGTTCAGAGTTATGGGCTGCATCCAATACTTATTTTATTTCCTCACCAACTAAGCAATGCAAAGCCTTCCTTGTATAGGATTTACTGTACAACACTCTGTCATGTAATTAGAACCTTTTGGCTTTTGCTAGGAGTGTCCTTTGCAAAACCGGGTCAACCGATTTGATGTTGTTTTGGATGTAGTCTATGTACATATCCCGCCAGTCTACATCACCCACTGTGAGGCATTCATTTTTATTCGCCTTTGCTATATACACCCTAAATTCTCGGCCATTCTTTGGAGGAGACATGAGTGGGGCTTCAATTGGTCGAAAGCATTTTGGTGTTGTGTTGACCACTTATATTCTGCAGATTTCTTGGTCAACTTGAGCAGGGGCATTGTTGCATGTGCCAGGCCAGGGATGAACCTTCTAAGGTAGAAGACTTTTCCTAAGAGGGATTTTAGATGTGACTCGGTATTTGGGGAGGTAAATCCGGGACTGCTTTGACTTTTATCTCATCTGGGTGGATCCCGATATGGTCAACTCTATACCCCAGAAACTTCCATGATTGTACTTTGAACGCACACTTCAGTGGGTTGAGCCTTAGGTTGAAAGCCCTGCATCTGGTGAACACCTTTCTCAGTATGTCGGAGTGGTCTTCTCTCTTCTTTGCTTTTACCACTATGTCATCTACATAGCACTCAATTTCCTTATGCATCATGTCGTGAAACACACTCGTCATCACTCTCTGGTGTGTGGCTCCAACATTCTTCAGGACAAATGACATTATCTTGTAGTAGAAATTCCCAATGGGTATCCTAACGTTGTGTGTGGTGCATCTATAGTGTCCACATATATATGATTGTATCCAGTGTAGGCGTCTAGGAAAGAGAACAACTGGTTCCCAACCGTTGAATCAATAAGGATATTCATGTTTGGCAACAAGAACTCGTCTTTGGGGCAGGCTTTGTTTAAGTCCTTGAAATCGACACAACACCTAGGGTAAGGGTGGGAAAAGTCAAAGTACTAGTCTCTTACTAATAGTTATGAGAGCTAATGTATTGGGATTTGAGTACTAACCTTAATTGGCCATTTTTCTTTTTCACTAGAACCACATTGGCTAACCATTATGGGTGAGCGATTGGTTTGATGAAGCCTACTTTCAAGAGTCATTCGACCTCCTCTTTGATCTTCAAAGTTATTTCTGGCTTGAAAATCCTCTATGGTTGTTTAACATATTTAAACTTAGGATCGATACAAAGTGAGTGCTTGACTAATGCTAAATCCAATTCAGGCATTTGGTCGTACGACCATGCGAAGACATCTTRGAATTCTATCGATATGAGAGAAAACAAAGTTCCATTTTGTTTGATATGTATTCTATTTTTGCGATTGGGGAAAAGAAAGGTTTTTGTACCTTTAAAAAGGTCCAACAATTTCTGTCTTTCTTTAGGTTCTAGCTTGGCCGAGATATAGAGTGGCCTTTTCTCTAATCCTTCAGTGGCCATATTGATCTCTTCTAATGGTTCTTCCATAATGCCATTGGAATCTTGAATGTGCTTAGGGGGCATGGATTTCAATGTAATATTCCATCGTTTCCTTGTTGTGTTCCTGTTATTTAGGTGATTTTAGTATTTTATTTTGTTTGTAATTGTATGCATAAATATGTTATTTTGTACCTTTGAGTCTGTTGAATCCTGTTTTGTATGTTTAGAGTCCTTTTGCGATGAGATCATCGCGATATCCTTGTGTGGAGATGGCATGGTGAAATAATTCTGGTTGAGGCAAAAGTTAGAACATGTATATATTCTTTTATTTTGTAAATAAACACATACCTAGGGAGGCCACATCTATGTGGTAGGAGTAGCCATCCAGTACCAGTCTGATGCCGTAATTGAAAAGCTAGAGCAGAGCCAAGAGCTACAACAGTTCTTCACTAAACAAGGGGAAAACACGACAACACAGAAACTTGAAGGGGATGAGAGATCCATCCCATGGACGCCCAAAGATTG